TGGCTTGATTCTAGTAATCATTTCACAATGTACACACATATAAAATCATGTTGCATACCTTGAATATGTACCATTTTGTTTATCATATCTCAATAAGGCCAGGGAGATAACAGATAACTTCAACTGTTCTATAACTACTAAATCAAATGACTTTATACTCAAACCAACCCTCTACAAAAAAAAAAAAAAAACTACTCTGGACTCAGATGGTTTTACTAGTGAATTATACTGTAGTACCTTTGAGGAAAAATAATAGCAAATTTACTTCAACCTCTCCAGAAAACCAAAATGGAAGAAATACTTTACAACTCATGGTGAGGTCAGAAGTACCTAAAGAACAAAACTTAGAAAATACAAGGAAAGAAAACTATAAATCGATATTTACCATTAATAAAGATGTAAAATTCTTAAAAGCTTAGCAAATAGAATCCAAGTATATATTAAAAGGATACCATGACTGATTAAAATTGGATTTACTAAAAAATTCAGGGTTAGTTGAACATTTAAAAAATAAATTAATACAATTCACCATAAAAAGTTCTCAGAATGACTTGGAATGGAACCACCATTTGACCTAGCTATTCCACTCCTCGCCCAAAGGATTTAAAATTAACGTACTATAATAATGCAGCCACATCAATGTTCATAGTGTTCAATTCACAATAGCTAAACTGTGGAAGCAAACTAGATGCCCTTCAATAGATGAATGGATAAAGAAACTGTGGTATATATATATACAATGAAATATTACTCAGCATTAAAAGAGAATAAAATTATGGCATTTGCAGGTAAATGGATGGAGTTAGAGAATACCATGCTAAGCAAAGTAAGCCAATCCCAAAAAACCAAAGGTTGAATGTTCTCTCTGATAAGTGGATGCTGATCCAGGGGGGAGGGGGGAGACATGGGAAAAATGGAAGAACTTTGATTGGGCAAAGGGGAGGGAGGGATTAGGGGTGCATGGGGGGCAGGAAAGATGGTGGAATGAGATGGACATCATTAACCTAGGTACATGTATGACTGCACATATCGTGTGACACTACATCGGGTACAACCAGAGAAATGAAAAGTTGGACTGCAATTGTGTACAATGAATCAAAATGCATTCTGCTGTCATATATGCCTAATTAAAATAAATAAACTAATAAAAAAGAATAGAATGAAACTTCCTAAACCTGATAAAGAACTACCAAGAACATATAACTAATATCATACAAAAAAAACTTAAAGACAAAAAAAATGAATGCCTCTCCCTAAAATAAGGGACAAGAATAAATGTCTGCTTTCATAATTTCAATGCAAAGCAGAGGTCCCAGCCTGAGCACACAGTAAGAAAAATAAATAAATAAATAAATAAATAAGCAGCCCCACTGGAAGGAAGTAACACTGTTTTTATTTACAGATGACACAACTGCCAACAGAGAAAATCTGATGGTATTTACAAAAGAGCTATTGGAACTAATAAGTACATTCACAAGATTACAGGATACATGATCAATACACAAGTAACAACAAACAACTGGAAATTGAAATTTTAAAAGACAATATAATTTACAGTAGCATTAAAAAATATGAAATACCTACAGATAATCTAGCAAAGATGTGCATATTCAGCAAAGGAAATGCCAGAGTGCTATGAAACTTTGTCAAGAGAAATTAAGGAAGACTTAAAGAAATAAACAGATATACTGTGTCCATGGGTCTGAAGACTCAATATTTAAGACAAATTCCACCTCATATTAAATATAAGTTCAATGAAATTTCAATTAAAATATAAACAGGCTTTTATTATGAGTGTTTTTAAAAAAAAATAAAAGGACCTAGAATAACCAAATCAACTTAAAAAAATAAGTTAAAGAATTTACTGAATAATTTCAATACTTACTACAAAGCTATATCCATGAAGACCATGTGGTATTGACATTATAATAGACAGAGATCAATGGAACCAAAGAAAACATGCAGAAATAAGCCTGTATTAATATGTATGTATATATGCATATGTGTGAATATATATATATGCTAAATTGATCTTTGAACAAAAATGCAAAGACAATTGAATGTAAAAAGGTAGGCATTTGAGAAGTGATGATGGCATAATTGTTATCCATGTGCAAAACACTTCATTCCATATTTAATGCCAATCAGAAAAATTAACTTAAATAAATCACAGATTTAATATAAAACCAAAAACAGAAGAAAATAACTGAAACCTCAGGTTAGGCAAACATTTCTTACATACAACACCAAAAGCATGATCCATACGAAATTAAACTGATAAAACTTCACCAAAATTCCAAATTGATAAATTAGACTTCATACCAATTAAAAACTCTGCTCCCATGGTATGCTGATACATGCCTGGTAACCCCAACAGAGTTTACTTGGGAGGCTGAGGCAGGAGGATTGCAAGTTCCAGGCCAGCCTCAGCAACTTATCAAGGCCCTAAGAAACTTAGTGAGACCCTGTCTCAAAAAAATTAAAAAGGGGTCTGGGGATGTGGCTCAGTGGTTAAGCACCCCTGGGTTCAATTTCTGATTTAAAATTTAAAAAAAAAAAAAAAAAAAAAAAACTTCTGCTCTCAAAAAAGACACTGTTATAAGAATGCAAAGATAAGCATCAAAAAGGGAGAAATTATTTGCAAATCATATACATGATAAAGAACTTAAAATAAGAATACATAAAGACCTACAAAAACTCAATTAAAAGAAAACAGCTCATTTTTAATATGATTTAATATAAACCTAATCCAAAAATTATATGGAAAGGGATAACAAAGGGCAAAAGAAATATTTGGGAGTATTAGATATGTTCTTTAGCTTGATTGTGATGATGGTCTCATAGATAAATACCTATGACAAAACTTCTCAAATTAGATACTTTTTGTGATTGTATGTTAATTATTCCTCAATAAAGCTGTTACAAAATATAGTTGAGAATGTCTTCTCTCTTGCTGGTGGTACCTTGACTAATACAATCCTTCTTCATCTTTTAAATTCAATCAGACATTAATTCCCAAACTTTCTGATTTCCTAACCTTTCTCCATTCCCATAACTCATACCCTAACACATCTCTCACCTGTACTACAGTATCCTCTCTCCAGTCCTCACCACTACAATTCATTCTCTACCCTGCAACCAGAACTAACTTTCTAAAACATAAATCTGAGTGTGTCACTGATTGTCCTGCAAATATATTTCAAACTCCCTTAAGATGATTCATCAGATCTTTCCTAATCTGACCCTTGAGCCCTCCAAGAGTTCCTACTTCACCCTTTCCTGCCCAACTGTACTAATCAACTCTGTGCCATACTGGATTAAAGCTTGAAAGCTGAAACTGAATTTTATTCATCTTTACTTCCCCAGAGCATGCCACAGTGTCAGGTCCAGAATTTGTGCCACAAGAGGAGGAAACACATGAAAGAATTAAATTGAATAAGTTCCTCTAATACCTAGGTTAATGCTGGTGTCCTCTATTATAAAAAGGTGGGCAGGTGAGAGGTTAGGGATCTCTTTTGTTAAATTCTAGCAAAGCAATGATTTCAAATCCCTTGAGGGGAGGAGTTAGAACTCTTCTGACAGGGAGTTTAAGGGCAAGACCCCCGTTACTGCAAATTGTTTTTAAAAATCAGCTGTTAATTCAGTGTGATTTAAATTAAGTAAAAGGTTAGGGAAAGGGAACCAAATTCCAGGAAAAACACAAGGCCCACAGCAAAATTAACACAGCTTGGAAGTAGGCCGGGTCTCCTCCCAGTAAATTTCTTAACTTTATCCAGAAACACACAGCGCCCCACCCTCTAGCTTATTCCTTCTCCCAATACACATTTTGACTTCCAAATCCATACAGGGAGGCTCCCAACCACCTTCCCCTCAAAATCAATCTTCAAGTCATTCTCACTCTCACTGTTCTGTCCCCCAAATCCTCCTCCTTCTGAGCCTCCAAATAGGGTGCTCTCTTCAGCTAGGCCCTTCCTCCAAGACCCAGGCCAGTGGCCTTCAGGTCAAGAACTAGGCATGAAGACCACGTCAACAAGAGACTTCCAAAAGGCAGAAAGCAGCAGTCATCTGACTGGAAGACTCTGCTAACATCTTTAAGAAGAACTCGGGACATAATACTTAGTAGATCATAGGAAAAAGGAGAAAAGCAAGCAAAAACAAAACAAAGCAAAACCTCCCATTTAAATCCATCCACAAACTAAAAGAAGACGTTTCTTCTTTTTTACTGATTTGCAATTCAAAAGCACAATCACTTCAAGCCTTCCAAACTCACACTTTAAAACTTACCCTAAGATGACTGGCCTATCATATCTTGGTCATGACTGACCCTTTCATTTAGGGAAGAAATGAGTGTGAAAACCTAAGAAGTGCTTTCATGGAAAAGAGCCAATGAATGGGGAAATTCACTATTATGCATAATGTCATTCCTTAAACAGAAGGAAATTAATGAAAATGAAAAGGTCCCCCCTAGGCCTTTTCTACCCAGATCTGTACCCAACATCATATTCTATCTAAAACTAAGTACACCTCAAACAGTCTCACAAACAGCTGGAAGCTCCAAAGCTACAAACAGTAATGGCCTTAAAAATTCCTAGGTGGCCAGACTTGAGTTAAGAAAATTCCCAAAACCCTAAAACTGGAGGTTGTAGGGGAAAGAGAGTAACTGAACACGGTTCACTGGACAGTGATCAGAGAGGAAGGACCTTGGGTTCCTGGCACCTCCAGGGTAGCCTCGGTGATGCAGTTAAGGCCGACCCTTCCCCTGAGTGGCCAGACGCCTCATCCAGGAGAGGACACAAGGAATTCTACAGCGTCTTTGAGAGCCAATGGTCTGGATGGGATGAGCCTTATGTGGCCGGAAGAGGTGGATAAAGGAGGCAAGCACCCACCCGGTGCACTGACAGGTTGGGGAACCGTCTTCCTGGACGTGCGCGCTGACAGCCTGCGCGCTTGCAAAAGCCCCTGGTGCCCACGTGGGACTGAGGGGCGGGGGGGTCACTTACTTGTCCAATCTGAAATTACATTCTACCTAGTGGGGCCTGCGCACTGCCGCGCCGAGCAGCACCGAACTCTGCCAGGGCTGTCCCCGCACGGGCTACAGCCCCTCCCCGCGCCGGCTCCGGCCCCGCCCCTGCCCCCGCCCGACGCGGCCCCTGTAAGACGCACCCGCATTGGCCCTTTGAATCTTGCCTGGGATTGGTCAGCGTCTGCCGGCCCCGCCTCCCAGCCCCTGGGCTTGACTTGCAGGGCTAGCCCAGACCAGCAGCCGGGCTGTGACAGCACCACAGCCTAGTCCTGGCTCTTCTAGCCTTCCCTTGGTTTAAAGGCACCAAGAGGCCCTGGGTCAGCTCAGGCTGCCAGCGTCTCTGTCTGGGAGTTCCTCTCGCGGAATGCACCCAGGCAAACTCTCCGCAGCCGGTGATGGGTGTGTGTCAAATGTGTTTCCTAAAAACTCAGCTCCTTAGGAGCCCAGGACCTTGATGGAGCATCAGGTCTGTTGTGTAGGCTGGTGTAAATAATAGTGAAAACGGCTGAATGCTTACAATTCTTCAATGCTGACTTTGTGCCAGCTCTTGTTCCTGATGCTTTAGAGGAATTTACTTATCTTATCCTGGGGCTCACCCTCTGAAGTAGGGATGACATTCTGTGAATCTAAAAGATGGATGGGTCCCTACTTTTGAGGGACTTAGAGTCTGGAGGGTACTAGACACACCGACCTTATTTAATCCTCACACACCTTACTTTTCCAGTAAGTGACATGGCTAAGGCCAAGGGATTAGCTCACTATCTTTGCATTTCATTTCTTTTAGATATTTTGGTTTGGGATCATTTTCTTTATTTCCTACCATGATTGTTCACCTTTCATTTCCAACAGCTATCCAAAGAACTAGATGGAGACTCTGGGATTTGCTACTCAGCACGGTTCGATTTGTGTGTACTATCAGAATAATATTAAAAGTTTATCGTCTTACCTCTCCAAAGCATTGTGGAGAACAAATGAATAATAGGTATGAAAATACTTTGCACGTGTTTGATGCTGAATATAAGATATGCTTCCAGCTCTTCCTTAGTATGTCCCAAGAATGGAATGTGCTGGTTGCCTCATGATCTATGGCAGGGGATCTCATCTTGGATAGACTTGAATCAGCACAGATTTACTGTCTGGCCTCTATGGATAGCTTTGTTTTTAGGCCTTTATGTATCTGAATTTTTAGTTGTTTCCTCTTATTATCATACTATCAATACCAACAAAAGCATAATTGCTAGGGCTCTAGCGATCATTGTGGACCATGAAAGGACTTCAGGAATAAAAGCCACACATAACAACCAGATGAGAGGACTTGGGTTCCTAATGCCATGCAGCACCAAACCAAACCAATACCCAACTGCCCATTTCCAGACCTCTGCATCAAAGAAAGAATTTTTTTCCTGTGTAAGACACTTTAATATTGTGTTTTCTATCATGTAGGACCAAACCTATGCATAACTGATTTATGTTCCTTGCCTCTTCTAACTCTTACAGCAACCTTATAAAATGATACTTGCAGAAACAAGCCCAGAAAGTATAAATAACCTGCTCAAGATCATCCAGCTAAGTGGCCAAGGTGAAATTCTAACTTGGGTCTAAAGCCAGTTCCCATTTTATTTATGATAGACTGTCTATTCAGAATGAATGAATGGGAATCAATCTAACAAAAAGGTGAAGGACCTCTACAGTGAAAATTATAGACCACTAAATAAAGAAATTAAAGAAGACATCAGAAGATGGAAAACTTCCCATCCTCCTGGATAAGCAGAATTAATATTGTCAAAATGGCCATACTACCAAAAGTATTATACAGAATTAATGCAATTCCTATCAAAATCCCAATGACATTCTTCAAAGAACTAGAAAAAGCAATCATGAAATCCATTTGGGAAAATAAACAACCCAGAATAGGCAAAGAAATCCTTAGCAAGAAGAGTGAAGCAGGAGGCATCACAATACCATACCTTAAACTATACTACAGATTAGCTATTGTTAATTGTGCTGCTATAAACATTGATGTGGCTGTGTCCCTGTAGTATGCTGTTTTTAAGTCCTTTGGGAATAGATTGAGGAGAGGGGTAGCTGGGTCAAATGGTGGTTCCTTTCCCAACTTTCCAAGAAATCTCCATACTGCTTTCCATATTGGCTGCACCAATTTGCAGTCCCACCAGCAGTGTCTGAGTGTACCTTTTCCCCCATGTGGTCGCCAACACTTATTGTTGTTTGTATGCATAATAGCTGCCATTCTGACTGGAGTAAGATGAAATCTTAGAGTGTTTTTGATTTTCATTTTTCTAATTGCTAGTGATGATGAACATTTTTTCATGTATTTATTGATTAATTATACATCATCTTCTAAGAAGTGTCTCTTCAGGTCCTTGGGTTATTTGTTGTTTTGGTGTTTAGCTTTTTGAGTTCTTCATATACCCTAGAGATTAGTGCTCTATCTGATGTGAGGGGTAAAGATTTGCTCCCAAGATATAGGCTTTCTATTCACCCACAGATTGTTTCTTTTGCTGAGAAGAAACTTTTTAGTTTGAATCCATCCCATTTGTTGATTCTTGATTTTAATTCTTGTGCCACAGGAGTCTTATTAAGGAAGTTGGGGCCTAATTCCACATGATGGAGATTAGGGCCTACTTTTTCTTCTATTAACGCAGGGTCTCTGGTTATATTCCTAAGTTCTTGATCCATTTTGAGTTGAGTTACCTAGATGCCCTTCAATAAATGAATGGATTTTTAAAAATGTGGCATATATACACGGCAATAAAAGAGAATAAAATCATAGCATTTGCAGGTAAATGGATGGAGTTGGAGAATATCATGCTAAGTGAAGTTAGCCAATCCCAAAAAACCAAATGTCGAATGTTTTCTCTGATATAAGGAGGCTGATTCATAGAGGGGTAGGGAGAGGGAACATAGAGGAATAGACGAACTCTAGATAGAGAAGAGGGGTTGAAGGGGAAGGGAGGAGGCATGGGGTTATTAATGATGGTGGAATGTGATGACCATTATTATCCAAAGTACAGGTATGAAGACACGAATTGGTGTGAATATACTGTGTATACAACCAGAGATATGAAAAATTGTGCTGTATATGTATAATATGAATTGTAATGCATTCCACTGTCATATATAAATAAAAATTTAAAAAAATAACTATACTACAGAGCCATAGTGACAAAAAACGACATGATATTGGCACCAAAACAAACATGTAGACTGATGATACAGAATAGAAGACACAAACAAACACACATAAATATAGTTATCTCATGCTAGAAAAAAGGCACCAAAAACATTCACTGGAAAAAGGATAGCCTATTCAACAAATGGTTCTGGGAAAATTGAAAATCCACATGTAGCAAAATGAAAGTAAACCTGTATCTCTCACCCTGCATAAAACTCAACTCAAAGTGGATCAAAGACTTAAGCACTAGACCAGAGACTGTGCACATAACAAAAGAAAAAGTAGGCCCAACTGCACCATTTTGGCCTAGTATTTGGTTACTCCTGAAGCACAAGACGTAAAATCAAGGATCAATAAATGGGGATGGATTCAAACAAAGAAGCTTCTTCTCAACAAAGGAAACAATCAATAACATGAAGAGAGAGCCTACAGAATTGGAGAAAATCTTTACCACATTGAACTCAGATAGGGCATTAATCTCTAAGATATATAAAGAACTCAAAAAACTTACACACACACACACACACACACACACACACATACATAACCCAGAGAATAAATGGGCTAAGGAACCGAACAGACACTTCACAAAAGAAGAAATACAATCAATCAACAAATATATGAACAAATGTTCAACTTCTCTAGCAATTAAAGAAATGCAAATCAAAACTACTCTAAGATTTCATCTCACTCCTGTCAGAATGGCAATTATGAAGAATACAAGCAACAATAAATGTTAACAAGGTTGTGGGAAAAGGCACATTGTTGGTGGTAATGCAAATTGGTGCCACCATTATGGAAAGAAGTATGGATATTCCTCAGAAAACTTGGAATAGAACCACCATTTGACCCAGCTATCCCATTCCTCAGTTTATACCCAAAGGACTTAAAATCAGCAACTACAATGATGCAGCCACATCAATGTTTATAACAGTTCAACTCACAATAGCTCAACTATGGAACCAACATAGGTGTCCTTCAACTATTGAATGGATAAAGAAAATTTGGTATATTCACACAATCTAATATTACTCGGCTTTAAAGAAGAATGAAATTATGGCATTTGCTGGTAAATGGATGGAGCCGGAGAATATATTGCTAAGTGAAACAAACTAATCCAGAAAACCAAATGCCGAATGTTTTCTCTGATAAGCAGATGCTAATTACAATGGGGAGGGTGCTATGGAAGAATAGAGTTACTTTGGATTAGGTAGAGGGAAGTGAATGGAGGGAGTGGGAATGAGGTTAGGAAGGATAGTAGAATGAATCAGGCATTATTACTCTATGCATATATATGATTACAGGACTAGTATGATTCTACATCATGTATAGTTAGAAGAATGAGAAATTATACTTCATTTATGTAAAAACAATGAATCAATCAATTTTTTCCAGTTACCTCTATTCCATTCACCTACTCCAGCAGGTGGCAAACTTTCTGTAAAGGACCAGATAGATAGTAAATATTTTAGACTTTGTGAGCCAGTTTCCATTGCACTTACTCAACTCTACATTGTGGTATAAAAGCAGCCATAGAAAATAATGAATAGGAAAAACTAAGTTTCAATAAAGCTTTATTTACAAAAGCAGGCAATGGACTGATGTGACATATGGACCTTAGTCTACCAGTCCTGGATTATTCTGTTCTAATATTTCAACAAAAAAGTGCACTGGGAACACATTTCAGAAAGTGGCGCTATTGTGACATCCCAGGGACACTCACACTGTTGCCTAACATAAAGGTGAATGACAGTGCGATTTGGAAGAAATACCTAGCAGATAATCATGAGGTCTGAGCTGTGAGCTCATGTCTGCCACTGCTATGATTTTAATGTCCCCCAAAAGCATGTTTTTGAAACTTAATACC